AACTACGTACATAAGTTTATACATTATTAATTAATAAATTGAATCAATCATTTGCTTAATAAGATAAGTAAAAAGCAGAAGACGTTAATAACTTTCTTTTTTTTTTTTAAATAAAAAGTTATTAATAATTAACCGGAATAAATTTATTAATAATTATTTATTAATTAAATAAAAAAAAGTACTAATAATAAATAATAATAATAATTTTTTTTTTCTCAATTCCGCCATTTTTATTTCTACTTAAAAAAATAAAAAAATTTTCCGACGGTTAATGAAATTGTTATAAATCAATAAATTTCAAATAAAAATCGATTCGAATAATAATAAAAATAGTAATAATAATAATAATAATAATAATAAATTAATCGGGATTCTGTATAACATCATTTAATTTTTGACAACTCAAAAAAAAAAATTAATTAAAAAAACATAATGATAATAATGATGGTAATAATAATGATTTTTAAATCTGGCAAACGTCATTTCCCCCCCTCCCAATCAAATGACTATATAAAAGGTCATCGTTAGATTTTTACAAAAATTAAATAGATACATAGGTTAATAATAATCGTCATCCATTAATCAAAAATATTAATAATAATAATGATAATGATAATAGCAATAAAAAAAAAGAAAATTTGATGGTTTATATTATAAACGATAGTTTTACTTACGTAAAAACTTTTTTAAATAAATTTCTGGAAAATAGTAGTGATAATAATAATAATAATAATAAAATTTTTCAAAAAAAAATTCTATTGACACGATATTCCATTGAATTAATAAATTTGTTTGCAAATAAAATTAACGATTCCTGATTCCCAGGTAATTTTCCGAGAATTTCAAAAAAATTTTTTTTCCTTTCTTAGTAATTGACGTTGTTGTAGTAGTTTCCGGTAAATAATTTTTTTTTCACATGTTTACATGAATGAAAATAATAATGATGATGATGAAAACAATGAAAATCTTTTAGCGATGATCACAAATCTTTTCTCGAGAGAGAGAGAGAGAGACTAAATAATTTTCCAAGAATTTTTTTTATAATAGAAATTTATGCGTTTTACTTGGAAAACGATCCGTTCGACTTTCAACGTTCGGATGTTAAACTTTTTTTTTTTAAATTTAATAAACAATCGATTCGAACGTTTGAAATAAAAAAAACCGCCAAAATAATAATAATAATAATAATAACTCGGATTACGTTACGATACCTTAAAAAAAAAAAAAAAAAAAAAAAACGCGGAATAATTTTATTCTCCACGAAAAAAAAAAGAAAATTTACGTAAAATTTTTCCGGGATTGAAAATGATAATAATAATAATAATAATAATAATGTTAATGATAATAATGATAATAATAATAATAGATCGATGAAATTCACGGTTGAACGTTTGCAAAAGCAAAATAATTCGTCGTATAACAAACACACACTATAAATAATACATAAAAAAAAAAAACAAGTGAAATTCTAACTACAACAGCAATAATAATGATGATAAAGAGAAAATTAATAATGATAATAATAATAATCTTACCTCAATTGAAATAATATCCAAAAAAAAAATCCGCCATTTTTTCACAAAGAACGCTCATGGATATTTCCAACAACAAAAAAAATGTGAGTAAAAACTGGAAAAATAGAAAAAAAAAAAAAAACAAATTTTCAATTTGAAAATTTTCTTTTAAAATTTATTACTATTATCATTAATATTATTAAAGAGTGAAAAATTTATTAGAAAATTATTAATTTGTCATTATTTGAGAGACAAAAAAAAAAAAAGAAGGAAAACAATCGGAGGAAATTAAAAAGGAAGAAAAAACGATAAAAATTATATTTATAATTTTATTGATGAAAAAAAAATATCGATTTATTTATTTTTATTTTTTGAATAGAAAAATCTAGAAAATTTAATAGAGCGAAATGATGATAAAATGGCGTCCTTCACTCAATTCTACCATTTAATTATTTATTTGTAATAAAAAAAATTAAAAACAAAAATTAAAAACAAAAACATTAAACACGAGGAATTTATTTTTTACATTATCACTGTAATTATAATCATTATTATTATTATTATCATTATCATCATCATTATTATTATTATTATTATTATTATTGTGAGGTATAATGAAAAGGAAACGGACGTTCCTTTAATCTTTATTGGATTAACCGGAAAAGCGGAAAAAAATTTTTTTTTTGGAGAAAAATCAAAACGAGAGTGTAAAAGACAATTTTCACGTTAATAAAATTCCGTTTTCTAAAAAAAAAATTATCTTCAGCTTTTATAAATCGGTTTTTCATTTATTATTATTATTATTATTATTATTATTATTATTATTATTATTATTATTATTATTTAATCATCGTTTGATTCACTTTAATAAAAAAAAAAACTTTTTTTCACCAATTGAAAAAGATTCACGAAAACTTTTCTTTTTTTTTGTATCTAAAAAATTTTTTTCGGTTCATTTTTTTTTTTACGACGATGATAATGATAATGATAATAATAATAATAATAATAATAATAATAATAATGATAATAATAATTTTTAATATTTTTTCGTCGGTTTCCTTTTTATTTTCCCTTTTGATCACCGGAAATAAAAATACAAAAAAAAAATTTTCCATCGATTATTTTTTAATTTTAAAAAATTTTCTATTTCCACTTTTTTTTTTTTTTGAACGAACGAACGAAACGTAAAAAAAAGTCAAATTAAATTATAATTATTATTATTATTATTTTTTAATCGGTTTTTTCTAATTACACGTTCTTTTCTCTTTGTAATATCATTTTAATGAATTTGTGTCGCGTGTAACGAACAAAAAAAAAAAAGTTCGATTTTAGATAAATTAATCGTTTTTCAAAAGGGTTAAAAAAATTTTTTTTTTTTTTTTATATCCTTTGATGATGATGATAATAATAATTTTTATTTTTTTATTTATTTTTATTTTTGTGGTCGTAAATCGAAATAAATTACCGGTTAAAAACTATTAAAAAAAAAAAAACAAGAAAAACAAAGCGTTTAGACGAAAAAACATAAAAAAAAATTTTTTTAACAACATAACCGTTTGTGTTGTTGTTTCCCTGCCCCCGCCCCCTCCTACTCCCCGGCCTCCATCGCTCCCTCTTTGTTTTATTTTATTAAACGTTAAAAATTGTTTCTATATTTTTTTTAAATAAATAAATTTATTTTTAAATTTAAAACAAAAAAAAAAAAAAAAATTATTTTTGTTACTATGTAGTAATAATAAATTTTTACATATTTTTAAAAACGTCGTTGATTCCACTTTTTCCTCTCATTATTATTATTATTATTATTATTATTATTATTAATTAAAATCAGGTTTTTTTTATTACTCGACTTTAATAAAATTACCATTAGTGTAATAAAACAAAAAAAAATTATTAACAAAAAGTTAATGAATAAAAAAAAAATAATTTTTTCAATTTTTTAAAAATTAAATTTAATTAAACAATTCTTTATTAATAAAAAAAAATTAACGTACCTGATATTGGTAATAAATTTTCTAACAAACAAACAAACGAACGAACAAACGAACAAACGCGTTTTTTCTCTTTAAAAAAAAAAAAAATTACTCTTACAATCACACAAATTATTATTAAAAACCTTTTTTTTAATAACAAACGAAATAAAAATAAAAAGGAAAAAGAGTGTGTGAGAGAGAGAGAGAGGAAGAAGAAAAATTATTTAATCCGTACAAGTCGCGTGTTGCCAGAAGAATGAATAGGAGAGAGAAGGAAAGAAGGAAAGAAGGAGAAAGAAAAAAAACGAAAAAGAAACAAAAAAAAAAAAAAAAACAGAAAAAAAAGCTTTGAAATCGAACAACAACCAAGAATCAAAACTGGATTGAAAATTTCCCTCTCTTTCTCTCTCTCTCTCTCTTTCTCTCTTTCTCTCTCTCTCTCTCTCACTCTCTTTCTCTCTCTCTCTCACTTTTACCGCGTTTGAATTTTTTTTATTTCAAGTGATTACGTGGCAATTTATTTTTTTTCTACCACCACCACCACCACCGCCGCCATAATTCCCCCCACTTATTCCCCTCACTCCTCAACTCGTCTCCCCTCTACCTACTGTTCCCTCACTTAAAATTTTCATTTTTACTCCCCTTACTCCCCTCTCCCCTCTTAAAAAAATGACACAATGAAATCGTAATTGGTGTTTCGATAAAACCAACTCATCGTCATGTCACTTTTTTTTTTTTTAAACAATCACAAAAAAACGGTTTTTTTTTTTATTTTAAAAAAAGCCGTTGATTGATCGATAAACTGACGCGAAAATACAGACGACAAAAAAACAAAAACAACCGAAATAATAATGATAATAATTGTAATTCTCGGAAAATATTTAAAAAAAAAAAATTTTTTTTTTACGTTTTTAATTTTTTAAATAATTTGTTTAAACAAGTTAAACGCACGACGACATCAACGACAAACGACAAACAACAAACGACGAACAAGAACAAGAACAAACATTAATTATCGTGAAATTTTTGTTGCCGCATTTAATTATTATTAAAAATAAAAAAATTTTTTTTCTTTAAATTAAAAAAAAAGCAAAAACCGCCATATTGAATTTTTTTTTAAATTAAAAAAAGGTACGCGCCATTTTGATTTTTCTTTTTTTTTAATTTGACTAAAATATATTTTAAATGTTGATTGTACGAAGGTACAAGGTACCTGATTGTACAGGTTCGTGTTAATAAATTTTTTTTTTTTCCAATAAAATTAAAAAATTTGATTGCGTACCGCGAAAAAGCGCGGGAAATTTATTTTTGAATTTAATTTTTTTATTAGTTTTCCAAAACAAACACTCGAGAGAGAGAGAGAGTGAAATGTTTGTTGAATATTTAAAACATACACGTTTCTTCCATTTTATACGAATAAATTTAAAAAAAATAACCGTTGAGAAAGTATTATATTATATATAAACATTCGTTATTTTTAACGGTTTACAAAAATTTGGCGCCATTTTTTAAAAAAAAATTAAATTTCTGAACGCGCTTTCTATAATAATAACGCGAAATAATTATCGTTCGATTCGTAAAAAAAAAAAAATTAATGAAGCTTTGGTAAAAAAAAAAAAACCTTTAAAATCATTTTATTATAATTTATTTGAAAAATAAACCGGAAATAATAAAAAAATTTTCCGGAAACCGTTAAAATGTGGTTTTTATTATTGAAATTTTCTTTTGTTTTTTTATTTTTTTTCCCCTACCGTCTTGGATTTGAATTAAATTATTATTTTCGTATTTCCCAATTTTTCCGGAAGGATGTTTTTTTTTAAAAAAAAAATTTTCGCGCCAATTTTTAAAATTTTTTAAAATTACCCGAGTGTAAAAAAAAAAAAAATATTAATTTAACTAATAAATGAAAGCCATGATTAGGGATCACATATCGCGCGTCGTCGGGAATATTTCACGTGACGTCACTTGTGACAAACCTTGTTTCCGGTTTTGAAAATTCAACAGGATTTTATTGATTTTTTTTTGTTAAAAAAAAAAAAAGAAAAACGATATTTAAAAAATAATTATTACAACCTTTTATTTAATTTTTTCTTTTTTTTTGGTTTTATATATAAAATATCATCAGAAAATGGCGGATAATTAAATAAAAAAAAAAAAATAATAATAATAATAATAATAATTTTTTTTTTTTCGAATGACAATAATAAATGATGCAAATTAAACGGAAATAAATTTTTCTAATAATAATAATAATAAATTTTCATATAAACAAATTTCAATAAAGTGTTTTAATGATAATAATAATAATGATAATAATATTAGATGTTTGTTGACGTTTTTTTTTTTTTTTTTGAAGTTTTCCGACCCGGTGTGTCAATGAACTCTTATTCGTTATCGATAAAAGTACAAGACGAACGATAACATCACAGAAATTTTAAAGATTTCTTTTTTATTATTATTATTATTATTCACTGGTTACACAATACTTTGTCTGTCTGCTTGGGCGTCACCGTAAGCCCTGAAAGCTTTCCTAAGGGATGCGTTGCTCGTGCGGAGACCATTTTCGTGCCACCTTATTCCTACCAGCCACCTGATAGAACTCCTCGTTTTCGAGGATTTATTACCGCTCGGCGAAGGTTCCGGACACGGTTCGAGAACTTCTTCCAATGAATGCCACCTTTTCGGCATCGTTTCCGGAAACTTGTCCGACGCGGGACGTTTCCTGTTTCGCACGATTCGGACTTCGTCCGACGAGGGTAGCAATGGCGCGTCCACGTCCTCTCGACTGTCTTCGCCTCCGCTGAGGTTTCCATTTGGTATATTATTATTGACTAGAGGTAAATATATTTGCTTTGTACAGTTTTCAAGTGAACGAGATTGATTTGGAATTTTCAATGTTGTCGTCGACGACGACGACGACGTCGCATTCGGATCTAATTTTTTCCTGCTCGGAAACACGTCCAACGATTTAGAACATTTCAAATACGAATTGGAGTAATTGACGGGTAGCATCAACGGGTCGGAGGGTACGTCAAAATTTTCCAAGGCTCCCACGTCGAGTGTTAATTTCGACGAGCAAGGATCGGACGCGTATTGAGAAGATCGGTGGGATTCTTTTGCCGTGATTCGCGTCGAAGGATCCGCCAGAGGAAGATTTATGGACGACGACGTGTCGACTTCCGTGCTTGCTCCTCTCGGAACGTTCGACTGCCTTCGACTGCTCATACCGAATCCTCCGCATATGGACGCCTGACGAGAATTCAAATTCGGGGATTTTCTCGGCCGGCAAAAAAGAGGAGGAAGTTCGGCTAAATCGACTTCGCGTTTTTGTATGGCTTTCGCTGTGGCTCCGACAAGCCAAAAAGTATTGACTTCACCTTTGCCTTTCATGTAAACTAAACCCCTGTTTTCCACTAAGTAACTGGAGATTTATGGAAAAGAAAAAAAACAAACTTTTATCAATCCGTAACAGTTTTGATACCTTAACAAAAAAAAAAAAAATTGTATACTTGCCCTCCTATCTTAGTGAGAGCCACATGGCACTGAAGAGAAATATGAATTTTAAGAGCTTCTCCATTCGACTCCATTCTGGAAGCTGTGTTAACTGTATCACCGAATAAACAGTACCGAGGCATTGTGAGTCCCACAACTCCGGCCACAACCGGTCCTACGACGATTAAAAATATTTTTAAAATTTTATAGGATCACGTGATCTTTAACAAAAAAAAAAAAAAACTCACCCGTGTGAATTCCGATTCTTAATTTTAACGTGTCTTGCGGCCTGTGAGCAATCTTATGATTTTTAACGGCTTCCAATAATTCCAAAGACATGGATGCTATTTCACCTGCATGACGGTCTCCATTTTTAAGAGGCAAACCGGATACGACCATGTAAGCATCGCCTATCGTTTCCACTTTATACACGTCGTAACCTTTTATTATTCGATCGAAGAGAGTGTAAAGATCGTTAAGGAAATTAACCACCTGAAAACACGACCGGAAATGTTTTGCTTTTTTTGATTTTTTCATCCGCAGGAAAAACGAAGAGAGAGAGAGAGAGAGAGAAATGTTCGCCTACCTGAAGCGGTGTACTTTCAGCTGACATGGCGGTGAATCCAACAATGTCACTAAAATAAATGGTCACCTGATCGAATGATTCGGGTTCGACGCCGATGCCTTTCGTCAGTCTTTCGGCAACAGGCCTAGATAATAATAATAATAATAATAATAATAATAATAATAATATAATAGTAATAGTAATAATAATAATAATAATATAATTAATACGATTCTAATAATATCGTTCACAAAAACCTAAATATCAGCCATTCACCGTACACACAACATCTTTCTCTCTCTCTCTCTATCTTTCATTCTAAATATAAACAAACAAAAATAATAATAATAATAATGGTATAAGTCACTTACGCCGGCAACATTCGATTCAATAGATCTTCCGTTTTTTGTTTTTCTTCAAATAACAATCTCGTTCTTTCCGTGACTAAATCTTCAAGATTGTTGGCATATTTTTCCATCATTTCCATCATTTGGTCCATGATATTTCGTTTCCTGAACAATTTCAAATAATAATTAATACCTCAGCTAAAAAAATTAATATTAATAATAATAATGAAAAACCAAAAATCGCTCCCTCACATTCCATCTTTCATTTTTTTAAGCCTGGTACGAATAACGGAAAAATCGGGACGCATTTCCGGTACTTCTGACCAACAGTCTTCGATGCAACTGGCAACATATTCTGGACATCCGACTTCTGAAACTCTAAGCAAATCTAAATCCGGTCGGAATGGTTCGCTTCCCTTTGCGGGATACGCTTTTACCAATTCTATTATTTCTGAAATTTTAATTTTTTTTCAAACAAATCGTCATCATCATCATCATCATTATCATTATTATTTTTTGTTTTAACAGGGACGTTTTTACATACCTTTAGGTTCGTACCTACATCCTCCGAAAGGACCTTTTCTTCCAATTATTTCATAAAGTATAATTGCAAAAGCGTATATGTCACCTTTTTGTGAGCCTTTTATAGGAGAACACGATTCTCGTAATAGTTCCGGAGCTTTCCAGAACATATCTAAAGAAAAAGAAATTTTTTATTTTTTAAAGGGACACATTAACGGTTGAATCTTGTTTTTGTTTTTTTGTTTTTTTTTAATAATTACTCCTGTAATACTGATGTTCTCCGATCGAATCATTTTCCGCGCAGTGTCTCAATTCGTGCAAACCGAAATCCGTTACTTGTAAAACCCAACGGGAAGTGACGACACAATTCGACGATTTTAAATTTCCATGACAGACAAGTGCCGAACTGTGAATGAACATCATTGCTTTTATGAGATCATGGACCAATGATGCTATAAACATTATATCTAATTTTATGTCTTCGTTTTCGACGATATCCTAAAAAAAAAAGAAATGGAAAAAAATTTGGAAAAACGGTGGTTAAAAAAATTTAGCGGTCAAAATTCGTACTAAGTTACTGTAATTGGTTGAAATTGTAGTCGGTAGATAAATATTTATTTATTTATTTAGATAATTTTGACATTTGCTTACGTAAAGGCTTCCTTTGGCGCAATAATCGGTAACAATAAGAACTCTGAACGATTCGACGCAAGCGCCAATAAAAGAATTTATGTTGTCGTGTCGTAAATCTCTCAACAATCTCATTTCTTTCATCACATCTCTTGAAATATCTTTTTTTTTAGAAAATTTCAATTCTTTTATTCGAACGACGACTCCTTTGAATTGTCCGGTAACTGCGAATACTTGGGGACCACACCTGGATTCGTACGATGTGGCACTCACGACGCTCAGCTGTAGGGATATAGAAAAAAAGACAAAACAGGTAACAGGTAAGTAGCGCATCTTCGGTGTTGAACACCACATTTACACCCGCACACAAAAACTTTAATTTACTTTACTAGGAGAACCCGTGACGTCCGTGCTAAAATACCCGTGGAGATCTTGAGGATCGATTTTCCAAAGGAGACCCTCTATTTCTTGTTCAATTTTCCATTTTCGATATATCGATACGGTCACGACGGCCGCGCAAAATAATAATACGCCCAAAGTTCCAGCCGCAACTATGCTACTTTGATGCGTGTCATCTTTTGCACAAAGTTCGTTGTCGAAACCGCAAGAAGGTTCGTCGTCTGGTTTTCTACCGCTCGGCCAATCAGGTGTCAAACTTGGGGAATTTAATTTGTACTCCTGAAAAATTACAAAAACAAAATTTTTAATTCGCGCACACATATATTTGTATATAAACCGGAAAGTTTCGAACGCAAAAAATCAATAATGAAACCCGAATCCTTTTTTTTCGAAAGGATGCAAAGTAAAAAAGCCAACTCACTCACTGGATAATCACTTTGTTGGAACTGACCAACTGGAACCATGTGATAATCACACGAAAAATTTTTCACATCTAACTTGTGGGGTTTTAATGCCAAAACGGAAAAATTCCCTTCCGAATCTCCATTCGGATCCAACTTGATTGTTGCTCCGGTTATACCTTAAACAACGAAAAAATTGGAAAAATTGAAAATTTGAATATCCAGCAAATCCCTCGGGAAATAAAATTTACTCACTTTCGTATGTTTTATTTTTAATTATCGTTTGTATTATGTTTGTTCCGTTACTCGCAATATCATCGATAAGAGCTTCGGTTATGTTATCACCTTGCTGACGAATCAAATAGTCTAAAGCTCGAGCGTAAAGTTTAACGGCATCGTATAAATACGCCGCGTAAATAGATACAAACTGGAAAAAAAAAAAAAAAAAAAAACCGGGTTAAACTTTTCAATAAACCTTTTCCTTCCTCCCTACCCCCCCACATCGAGGGGTGTAAATAAAACATGTTTTCCCCAACCCCCGCACCTTTTGATATTGATTCGTTTCGAATAGTTTCGGCGTGACGAAATTAAATGGTTCTCTCGAGTTGTACTCTCGCACTTTTTGCGTGAAATCTTCGTATTCGTACGTGGGAGGAGATGATACGACGACCAAAAGTGATCTTCCCCTTTGTAAAAAGTCTTTTTGTTCGTCACACGATGTGAACTTATCAAATACTTCCGGTTCTGAAACATACAAGCAGTAATTTTTTTTTTTTTTTTTTTAAAGCTGAACTCATCGAAAGCTGAAATAATTTATTTAGAAAAAAAGAAAAACTTACTCCATAAATATTTTTGAGCTTCTCGTACCGAATACGTCATCATGTCGACGTAAATGACCATGTATTCACCTTCGTCGAATAGTTGAAGAGCTTGCATCGTCATCATCATGTCTATGAGAGCCATCGGAGTACCGAGGAAAACGTAAACTGCCGAGAAGAAAAAAAAAAAAAAGGAAAATTTTCACATTCGTTACCCTCGAATTTTCCGGCTCGGGAAAAAGTTAAAATTTTCCAAACTTACTCCGAGTTCTATTTTTCGTTTCCTGTATGACTTGGTACCAGTAACCGGAATGACAACACGCGAGTTTTTCTTCGCAACATTTATGCCGATCGACGACTTTTCTCATGTGATTAACGGTCAAATTGTTTGTTTTGGCTTGCGAATGCAAGGATTTGGCCACCGTCTCCCATTTCTCCTCGTAGATGACCGAAAATTTTCTCCAGCTGTAGTATTTAAGCAGGGAAATGATCGATTTTGTAACCTGATGATTTTGCGGTTCGGTTCTTGCGAATGTTGGAACGCTCGACGCCGCATCGTCCAGGCATTTCTTTACAACAACAACAACAATTTTTTTTTTTTTATTTTACTTTTTCAACGCAGGAACGTAAAACAATAATAATAATAATAATAATAATAATAATAATAATTGTAACGGAAGCCTTAAGGTATTACTCCAAAGTGGAAAAAAAAAAAAAAATTTTTTTACGTGGCGAACGGAAAATTTTAAGCATTGCAAAATTGAAAAAAAAAAAAAATTATTTGCAAAACTTTGACAACTAATAATTAAAAAAAAAAAAAAGAAAAGAAAAAATGATTTTGTAATTCTTTTTAGTTTTTAGCTTTAGTTTTAGTTTTTCTTTTTCAAATACGCCGCCTAAATCTGTAAAGATCACGATGATCTTTGATTTCTTTATAAAAAAAAAAAAAATTTGCCTGAAGGCACCAAACCCATGGGTATCACAAAACGATTTAGTTTTCATTCTATTATCATTATCATTTTCGACCGAAATTAATTAATAATTTTTTTTTTAATAAATATACTCATTTGTTAAATAACGCGCGTAATCGTTCCTCCTCTTCCCAACCACCCAACCATCTACCCCATTTCCGAACTGTCCCCCGTAGAATTTTTTTTGTTCTTACTACTTACGTAGCTGATCATCGGAATGTTTCGAGATTGTGCAACAATGGCTTCAACAAGACATGAATGTTCGGGACCGAAAAACGCTGATACTCCTTCGCAAACCATATCCGTTATGAATCTCGTGGCAGCAACCGTCTCTCCCCGAGTATCATTCCATCGCAGCATCAGCTCCACGTCGGGTAGCAACATTGTATCATTATTAATCTTCATTTTGAAAACAAAAGAAAAAAACATTTCGTTATTTTTAATAATAATGATAATGATAATAATAATGATAATGATGATAATAATAATAATAATAACAACAACAACAACAACTTTTTTTTCACACCTTTAAGGTAAACAATGGCGATTTAAAAAAAAACGTAAAAATCAAAAAAAATTTTCAAATTCGAAGAAATTTACGCTTAACTTGCGAGGAAGGGAGGGAAGGAGGGCGGGGAAGGATTGGGAAAACCGAAACCGTTTTGCGTCATAAAATTTTTTTTTTTTTTTTTTTATTAAAATTTAAATTTAAAAAGAAATTTAAATCGAAAAACGCAAAGTAAAAAAAAAAAAAAAAAAACTAAAAATCACGAAGTTCAATCATCAACAGTTACGACGCTTGAAGCAAAAATTGAATTTTTGGCATTTCCGGTTTTTGATAGGTAAGGGAAAAAAAAACATGAAAGAAAAACAAAGACGATAATGATAATAATAATGACGATCATACTTGAAATACGCGTCGTTAAAAAAAAAACCGTTAAAATTTTATTTACGTATTTATTTGTATATCTTTTATTAAAAAAAAAAAAAAAAAGAAATGGCGGACTCATTTTTTATTTTAATGATTATTTAAACGAAAAGAAAAAACCATTCGATAAATTTTATTTAATTTTTTATTATTAAATTTTCAAAGACGTTTATCCGATATATCTCCCCAGTGAACAAAATAAATTAAAATTTCCGGTTTTCTTCTTTTCCTTTCTGTTTTGAAAGTTAATGAAATTTTCTTCGAGTGCGATTTTTCTTCGATTTCCGTTCGAACGATATATATTTTACCGTTGGCAACACCTCCTCCACCTCATCCTCCTCCTCCTTACGTATCCTTTTTCTTTTTTGCTACTACCATTCATTTGCTTAACCTTTCCCAAATCAAAATTATTGCCACTTTTTTCAAATTTCTTCTCCTAAACACTTCTTTCATCATCCCAACACTATTTTTTCACACGTCCGACGGTTAAACTAACGCAAAAGGAATAAAACAATAAAATAAATAATAGCAAAAAGCAAAAAAGAGAATTAAACGAGAACGGCAACGAGAATATCAGAGCAAAGGCCTTTGCTGATTTCTTTGACCTTTGATCTCGGTTGTTGTTTTTTTTTTGTTTTAAAGCCTGATCAAAAAAAAATAAAAAATTTATGAGTTATTGTTTTTATTTTAAACTTGTTTTCCTTTCAACCCGATTTGACTTGTACTGTTTGTATACTTACTCGACGAAACAAACGCGAAATAACTCTTATAATAATAATAATAATAATGATAAAAATGTTTTTATTACAAAAAAAACAAAATGTCGGCGGGAAAACGTCGTCGTTTCGTCTAACTAATTTATCCGAATTCAAATTTAGCCATTAGTCTTAGAAACAAACATCGAAATAATTAAATAAATTAGAATCGATTAGGTTTCTGAACGCGCGCAATTGGGAAAAAAACGCAGCGTTGCAAATTTCTGAACGCGCTTCGAAAACAAAAAAAAAAAATTAATTAAACTTTTTTTGAAAGAAGGGGGTCGGCAGTGAGTGGAAAATACAAGAAAAAAGGTATTAAAAAAAGAAAAACCACCGCTTGCTATGATCAGACGACGATGACGACGATTTCGATAAATCGACCTTATAAAACAAAGAAAATAATAGAGGGCGGGTCTCTTAAAATGGCGGATTTTATTCTTTTTGAACAAAAAAAAAAAAAAAAAAAAAAAGAAATTCAAAATTGAAATTTTCTCATCGGGAACTAACAACAAAAAAGTTTGACGTTCACGTAGGATTGTTTACAATCAGGGAGTCTCCACTCCCATTATTTTCCTATTGTTTTCATTCGTAAAAAAAAAAAAAAAAAACCACCACAATAAAAAAAGAAAAGAAAAGAAAAGAAAATTTGAGAGCTTTTCCTTTTTCCTTTTTTTCTTTTAAGAAATTAAGTAAACGATATATATTTGGAAAAAATTTAAATGATATTAAATAATCTATTTATACGCGTCGTTATTTCTTCCGTTTTTTTTTTTATTTGAAATTTTCCTACTTTTTTTTTTGTTCTGACGTCATGCGAGTCACGAAAATAAAAAAAAAATTTATTCACGAAAAATACCGTTAAAGGTACGTAATTAAATTTATCACAAAATAAAAATTTTCCATTAATAATAATAATAATATTATTATTAAAATTTTTTTTTTCTTTTGCTACTTTTTGCAGAGTCCGAAATTTTTTTTTCTTTTTTTTTTTTTTTTTGGACGACAGATTCTCCTTGTTTGAAAAGTCTTCGATAATAATAATAATAATAATAATAATAATAATAACGGTTAAAAGAAAATGTCGACTGCACCTATGTTTGTGATAAAAATAAATGTAAATAACGGAATGACGGGAAAAAAAACAAATTGAAAAAAATTATTACAAATTTTTCAATTAATCGAATCGGAAAAACCCTCGTTTAAAAAAAAAAAAAAAAAAAAAAAAAAGAAAATGGAGTCTTTCGTTTTTCGTTGTTGCGCGAAATGAGAAAGTAAGCATGTATATGAGGAGGCACTACTAATGGAAATGTGGATCTTAAATGTTATTTTGCATTGTCATATCTCTCTCGCTCTCTCTCTCTCACTCACTCTCCATTAGTTCGTTTTATCAAAAACCTTATCGTTTGTGATTTATAGCTAACGAATTAGCGAAACGTTAATTTGCAAAACGAATACAACAAAAGAAAGAAAACAATTTGGCAACATGTGAGAAATTTTCTTCTTCTTCTTCTTCCACGGATGCTGCTGCTGCCAATGATATATCAATCTATCGGTAAAATTATTATTATTATTTTGATAAAAACTAACCTCTTCCAAGGCCAATGCGAGTGCTCCGGAAACAGCCAATCCCTGTCGGTCTTTCAATTCACCTTTTATGGCCGTCATGTATCCGACGGTGAGCTGTTTCTTTTTAAGGAGTCGAGGGTTCGTGGGGACGGCGAGTAATAGCGAAAACAGCACCAGGCAGGATGAGCCTGGGCTCATGGCCGGCACTCAACACTCCGGCCGACAAATCCCCTCATCTGAAAATAACAACAACAACAATCATTAATAATAATAATAATAATAATAAATTAATTTAATTTAATTTTTAAAAAAAAGACTCGAATTAAAAACGGCACTCGATTCTCGCAAAAAAAAAAAAAAAAAAAAAAAAATTTTTTTGTTTTTCAAGGTTGACATGCGCGTGTGGAGGAGATTACAACGAAGATTCGTATTGTGAGAAGGTAAAATTTCGACCCTGACATTTAAAACGACAACAAGATATTGAGTTTTTTTTTTTTTTTAAAAGCTGCTGAAAATCGTGATGGCGATCACACCACGGCGATGACGATGACGAAGACGACGAAGAAGACGACAGGTACACAAATCCCTCTTGAACAAACGAGCAAAAAAAAAAAAAAATCAAAACCTCTGACGTCATCATCATCATCTTTTTTTCTTTTTTTGATTTATTTTCCCGTTCAATTACATACGCCGCCGCCGACGACAACGCCGCTTACGCGAATTGAAGTTTACGATTTAAAAAAAAAAAAGGAAAATTCAGGTATATTTGAAATTAAATAAAAGAGGTATTTAAAAATTTAAATAAACTATCTGTTTTTTTTTTTTTTTTTTTTTTGTAAAAATAACTTTTTTAAACCGTAAAAAAATAAATTTAACACGTCTGTGACCCTTATCTCTCGTGTTTACTTAAAATCTCTCTCTCTCTCTCTCTTAAGATAAAATGTTTAAATACATATATATATATCTCTGTGCGTGTGTGTGTGCGTAATACAAATAATTCTATTTTTACTCATTCAACCCAAAATGAAATCAAAAAATACCAATAACAATAAACAAACAAACAAATAAATAAATAATAGTTAATAAAATTTTTTTTTATTTTCTACGCATTCTCAATAATAAATAATGTCGAAAATTATTCGTAAATACGAAAATCTACAAGATGGGATGTGTGTGTGTGTGTGTGTGTGTGCGCGCGCGGGTTAATACATATTAAATACTAAGAAGGAAGAGAAGAACGTAAAATTCGAACGAGTTGGAAAAGTAAAAGCAGAAGACAATCAAATCACTCGAGACGACATTGAACTCATGGATAAAACGAGCAAAAAAAAAAAAAAGCAAAACAATTCGCCAACAATTATTTTTAATTTTGATCGATTTGATTGAAAGAGAATGGAGGGGGAGGGGGGGAGAAAGGGCAAAGTTCAAAATTATTATTGTTGTCGAGCATCGAACAAACGAGAAGCCCGGGAGAAACAACAACAAACTTATAACGAGTAGGTGACTAACGAATGGAAGAACAAAACAAACCAATTAAAAATGTTTTTTTAATTATTAAGCGAAATATTCGTGGTTGTAGTCGTCGTCGTCGTCGTCGTTTGTATTCCATCGCATTCATGTCGACAAACAATGGGAAAGCGGACACAAACGACAGAAACATAAACATAATATACGAGAGAGAGAGAGAGAGAGATACACACACATTCATTATTATCTGTTGTTTCTTTCAATAAAACTCAATTAAAATTGATATCGTCGACGGGATTATTAGAAACTCAAAGAAAAAAAAAGGCAAATTCTATTTCCACGTTTATTTTTATTTATTTATTTTTTACGAAATAATTACGGAAAATCTTTTTTAAAAGCAAACCCTTTGTTAAAATCCTTCCGGGAAATGTTTTGTTCACGATTTTCTTCTTAAAGAAAGGAAGGGATAAGGGATGTGAAATGATGTGGAAAAAGCAGAAAATAAACACAATACGTATGAGTAGTAGTCATGATAATGATAATCATAATCATAAACAGTTAAGCTACCCAAACGTTACTTCTTTCTCCTCTTTCCCCCCCTTCCCCCTGAAGAAAAAGAAAATTTTTTTTTTTTAATTACCTGTACATCGTTGGATATGATGAGGGCTCATTCATATTATCCAAAATTTATCCCATTCTATCGAAATTTTTATTTTTTGTGAGTTACATTGGCCGAAGACGAATTTTCACCTGGAAAAACAAAAAAATAATAATTTTTACTTCTCTCTTTCTTATTCTTTCAAGAATCTTCTTCCGGTACGCATACATAAACTAAAAAAAAAATTTTTTTTAAATATTTAAGGTTCGCCATTTTAAAAACAAACCACAATTTTTTTTTTTTGTTACCTTCTTTGAATTCTTTTATTAGATTCATTGTGAAAAATTTTTAAAGGGTCATTAAAGGTCACGTTACGGTATTTAAATTTTCACGTCACCCGAAAAAAAACAAAAAAAACGCCGCGCGAAAAAAATCTCTGGAGAAATCGTCGACCGAACTTCGAACGTCATTTCCGTTTTTTTTGTTTTATTGATTTCTGCAGGGAAAATGCCGTCAGTTAAAATCAAAAACACATGAAAAAAAAAGGTATAGAAATTTCTAGAAAATTTTCTTGGAAGTTTAACAAAAAACACAATCAAGGTGATAATAAAATAATAACTAATTAAAAGGTTCAATAACTTATTTTCGTTAAAATCGTTTCCGGTATTGTGATCGGTAACATATCGACTCTCGTTATGCTAAAATTAATAAATCGAAAAAAGGGGGAGAGGGGGGAAAATATCGTGGAAGAAGAAACCAAAGGGCGCGTCAAATTATTCTAATTTCACGACGATTTATTTTTAAAAATTAATTTTATTTTTAATAAAATAATAAATATTTTAATAAAATAATAATAGTAATAATAATAATAATAATAATATTTTTTTTCTTTTTTTTCTCGATTTACTTTCATGTGAATATGTCGTAGTATGGCGGTTCCGTTTCTAGTGGATTTTTTTCAACGAGCAATCTTGATTTTTCCTTTTTCTCTCCTTTTCCATCATCTTTTTTATCGTCCGTTCCCGTTCCTCTTCCACCCGCCGCCGCCGCAGCCGCTGCTGCTGCTGCGGCCGCTCCCGCCTTTTTTCCACCGCCCTGTTTGGATGGCATGGTTCGTTCGGACGAAAAAGACTGAATGGAATTATTCAGCGTGGAATTTTCCGACGATACGTTTCTAACCAAATCTTTTTCTAAACTTTTCTTACACCTTTGACACAGGAATTTGTACAGGGCGCTGTCTCCCCGGTAATCTTTGTTCGAATGATACCTATTGTTTTTTTTCCTCCTTAATTTTTCTTTCCTTTTTTCCCGTTGATTTTTAACGTAATCGATGACGTTTTTATTTTGCTTGTTGCTCAAACCCATCGCAAATTCTCTGACTTTTCTACCCGTCGTACCGAGTTGATCCCCGAAAAATTTCATTTTTTTCAATTCTTTCGTCGTCAATTCTTTACTCACCGTGAATTCTCTTTTCAATACGAAAACCCCCCATTTAATACCGCATTTGATGGCGTCCAAAACGTCGTCTGTCGTTATTTTCTTTGACGAATTCATATCTATTTTACGTTGAATGTCTCCGAGAGTAAGTTCTTTACCACTTTCGATTATTCCCGCTATCGTGGGGAGTAACGGATTTATGTGATCCTTCTCATCATCACGTGATTTTTTTCCAATCACTTTTAAATCTTTCGAATTCATACCGAATGACATTTTTTTTCACAAAAAAATAAATTTTGAATTTTTCCACACCTTTTTCACGCTTTAACTTTTTTTTCACAAAAAAATAAAAATAAAAAAATTTCTTTTTACTAAAATTTACCTTTTACACAAAATGTAAATATTTATATGACTCATGAAAATAATAATAATAATAATAATATTAACATCACTTGTTTTCATTTAAAATAATAATAATAATAATAATAATAAAAATTTTCGTCTTACTGCACGTTTGCTACCGTTAATAAAAAAACGTAAATATTTTTAAAAACCAATAAAAGTAAATAAAAAATAAATAATAATATTAATAATAATATAAAAATTTTTTAACCTGTGAATGTATTCTCTTCGCTTTCCTCCTTTCTCCCCCCCTTAAAAAAATTATTATTATCAGTATTATTATTATTATTATCTATTTGACTCAAAGGCTAATAATAACAACAACTTTTTGATACGTTTGAACAAAAACGAACACACACACACAAGAACAAAAAGAAAAAAAGAAAAAAAAAAATTAAACAAAAAAGATAGTTTAACGATCCAAAAGTCAAACTTCGAAAATAAACTTCGGCCTAATTAACAAAAAAAAAAAGAAAAAGAAAAAAAAATTCTTAATGGCTTTTCGTTACCCGACTCCTCTTCCTTCACCTCCCCCCTTCTCTCCTTTCCCTACCCTTAAAACCTCTGGTCACTCCACTCGTTGAATTTCGTTACTCTTTTATCTCGAATCTAAGTAGTATGAGAGACTAAAAAAAAAATAAAACAAAAAGGAGAAGAAGAAAAAATTAAAAAGATCAACGAGACTAATATAAAAATCGATTTTAAAACGACGTGGCAAAAGACAAAAAAAAAAAATGAAAACGGTAGCAACGGCCACCGTTCTATTTACACTTTTAAACGCGACTCCTGCTGTTCTCGATGCGTCTACATCTCGACATAAAAATGAATTTCCCCAGCCTCCGCCCCCCGCAACTTTTGTCGTAAAATTTTTTCACGCGGATGTACAAGTGCGAATCTTCTTCTCCATCGATGTAGCAAAATCACACGCACACGCACGCACACACACACGTGTAATTATTATGACGCCCGAAATAACTTTGATGGAAAATAATATTCGTGACGTATCCGGATAAACGTAATCACAATCACACTCGGATGAGCGTTTGTGCCAACTAAACCAACGACGGCTCGTTACAATAATAATAATGATAATGATGATAATAATAATAACAGGCGCGGATGTTTTCATTTAGGTAAAAGGTGCATGCACCATTCATGCACAACGACAAACAACGCAACACAACAAAAATACCATTGACTCAAAAACTATTTATAGAAATTTATTATTGAAATTTTTGCATCGTCGACATATTAACCAAATTAAAAAATCAATAATAATAATAATCATTATTACTATTATTATTAAACAGTCGACGACGACGACTCGGAGGAAATCGAAAAAAAAAAAAATTTATAAATTTGGCAAGAATGAATTCGTCGTTTCGATTGTATTTTTCATATGATGACCTTGAGAATATCGTACCATTTTATTATTTAATGTGACGAAGAAGAAAAAATGCGTCGTATACAACACACAAACACACAATATCAACCGCAGCAAACACGCTTTGGCAAAATATTTATCTTTGCAAAAAAAACAAACAAACAAATAAATAAATAAATAGCAGAAAGGAAACTAAACAAACGTCTTCATCATGAATTCTTTGGGTGCAACCAAGTAGATTTCTGATGATTAGTGTTCACCTTAGAATTGAATTTTGTTAACGCAACCAATTCTCATGTTGATGTTTGTTGATTTATCTTATTACCTTCTAATTTTGTCCACACGATAGTTTTCGCATAATAATAAACAAACGGACAAACGTTCGACACGAACAAACGAACGAACGAACGCACGCACCCACGCACGCGAGAGGGGATCATGATGATCAAAGATGGGAATTACCTGCAGACCCTCCCCCCACATTTTTTTTCATACAAAAAATAAAAAATTGATCCCGTTTTTCTTCTTCTTACCGGTTCTTTCCCACTTTTCCGACCATTTTCGAACGACCGGTAAAAAAATTCATCTGGTAATTTTGATTCGATTAAATTTCCTCCTTCGTTAAAAAACTTCAAATGTATATTTTTTTGTATAGAAATTTCATCGAATTGTTTGTCGAAATTTTTTCATTTTTTTCTCGTTTTTTTCGTTTATGTTGTTATGATATTATTATTATTATTATTATTATTATTATTATTATATAATCCAGTTGGCTGGAAACTGACCTTCGTGCGAATTTATTTTTTACGGTTTAAAATTTCATTGTTACAAAAAAAAAAAAAAAAAAAAAAAAAACCGTTCAATAAAGAAAAATTTACGTTTTAATTATTGAATCACGGTCAATTTCATAGTAAAAAAAAAAAAAAAACGCACGCCGCGTTCGTTCTTTCCCTTAAAAAAATTTTATTATTATTATCATTTGATACTACTTCTGTCACGGTATTGGAACGCATCTTCTGCTGCGTTTTTCCTTTTCCACTAGAAACGATTACCCTTGACCAAACATTTCGCAGATTCTTTTTTTTTTTTAATTATTTTTCCCGTTCGTTTTTTCCAAAGTTTTCCCTCCCTCTCCTCCCCGCATTCTTCCGTTCTCCCTCTCTCTCTCTTTCCACATGATGATAATTCTCATAAAATCCGTTCAAAACGCGAAAATAATATAAATCGATCGAGATTAATTAATCAATCAGGTACATATATATTGACGATTGTCGACCTTGGGTAAAAGGCCACGTTTTATTTTAGGCCTTTGGGTAAAATTTCAAGGCAACCAGAGTGACAAATAATAATAATACTTTTTCGCTTTTATATAATTTACCCTTTGGTTAAACGAGGAAACGACCGAACGTTGTCCCGTTTTTTTTTTTTTTTTTAAACAAACGAAACCTAATAAAATATTTCGATTTAAAAAAAAAAAATGGGGAAAAAGACAAGAAACAAAAACAAGAAAAGTTCTTCAAAAAAAAAAAATGTAATAATGATAATAATAAACGTACCTTAATTTATCGCTATCAAATTTGTGTTCCACTTAACGAACGGGTATTGAGACGATAAAATAATACCCGTTAACCATAAAACGAAGAAAAAAAAAACCTACAACAAGAACAGTCGCGAAACGTATACGACGAATAAAAACGTTTTTATTTTTAATTCGAAAACAATTAATAAATCGTTTATGCTGCTATTTATAGGTACGTGTAATTAATCAAACGTAATCATACGATTATTATTATTATTATTATCATCATCATAAACTGCGCGATACCTTTTTTGTCGATTCAAAAATTTATTTTTAACTTTTTTTATTTTTATTTTTATTTTTATTTTTATTTTCGTTTGTTTAATTAAAATAAATCGAGCGTAAAAAAAAAAAAAAATTAAAAGCTAGTGCAATTGAGGATGTTAAACAAATTTTGTTTGTTTGTTTGTTCCTTCGTTTGTTTTAAACCTAATTTGACATATATAATTAATAATAAAAATTTTCGGGAGTTTAAAAAACGGTTTTTTCATTTTCTTTCTCAGACGTGGAAGAACAAGAAAAAGCACGAAAACTTATGTAAAACCAAAAATAAAAAAAAGGAAAGAAGGGAGAGAAAGGGGGAGGGGAAGAGAGAAGGGGAAAATGGGTAAGAGGGGGGAAAGCATTATTAATTAATTTGTCTTTCCTTGACAATAAAACGCAAGCAAGCAAACAAACAAACAAACAAATCGAATAAATTAAATAATCTTCAACTCGAATCGAAATCATCTTCAAGGTTTTGTGGTTGTTATTATTATTATTATTATTACTACCGCGAAACCTTTCATGGTTTTTTACCGCACCGCGCGACCTTCTACACTTGTTTGCAAAAAAAAAAAAAATTAATAATTTTCGCCATTTTTTTTTCTTTTTTCTTTTCGAATACCATCGTCGAACGCAACGGGAACGCAACGGGAAATGAGTAAATTTATTTATTATTATTATTATTTTGTTTCGCGCGCGCGTGCGCAACACGTTCGGCGTTAAAAAACGCGAAACGTTTTCTCATGATATGACTTAAAGTAATTAAAATGATACGACCGCGACCGAATATAATTATCGAAACAATCCAAGTTCGATTAAAGAAAAAACAACAAAAAAATGTACGCGGCGTTGACCTAGTCCGCCATCTTTATAAGCATAAATTGGCGAAAATTTTAGCTTTTTTTTATCTAGTTCGGAGGAGGACACGTTTACAAACCGTTCGGATTTATTACTTCCGCCTTTCTTTTTTATTTCTATCTTGATATTAAGAAAAACAAAATGTCCGAAAAAGTGAATCGATCGAAAATGATTCTGTGCTTTAATACGCGTCAAGGAAATATTATTCATTCATCAAAACGATCGGCCATAAGAAAAAAATATAATTAAATGGATTAAATAAAACATTCGATCGATCGATCGATCGATCAATCAATCAATCAATCGATCTATCGATATATACTCATTGACGTTTCGTTTTGTTTTGTTTTGTTCCTTTTTTTTCGCATTCTCCGAATTTTAATTTTTATCATTTAATTAAAAGAAATCGAATTGTTTGTTGTTGTTGTTGTTGTCGACGTCATTAAAATTCTGGACAATAGATGATAATAATAATGATAATAATAATGATAATAATAATTTTTAGAAAATTCCATCGCATTTTTTTTCGTTTTTCCTCCAAGGCTTTTTCATTAATGTTATTTTTACCTAGAGGATAAGAGCTATCAATCATTTTTTTTTCCTTCTTCTTCTTTTAATTCCCCATTAATTTCCATAATAAAAATAATAATAATAATAATGATAATAATAATAATAAAAGTAAAATTTCAATTAAAACTTATTATTAATTCTTAAATAATTACGTAATAAATTTTATTAAAAAAAAAAAAAAACATGGCGGTGATCAGCGATAAAGATTTTTAAAAA